CTTAAGGGGAGACCCCAGCTGACTCTATTGGCAAGCTTTCAATAAAACTTTAAAATCTCAGTTGGTACTTTCGTGTCTCATCTTCTGCCGGACTGAATCCTAACTGGGGAGAGTCAGAAACTCTCAAATTTTGCTAACAATATGACCAAAATTCGGTCACTTGGCAGCCCACCCTCACTTACAACCACAGGGGCACTTCATCTCCCCCATCCACCTATCTCCCCCCCACTCTCTGCCCTTTCGGCCACCCTGCACAGTGGCACTCGGTGGCGGCATTGGGGCTTAAGTAGGGGCCAGGGCCTTCAGCAGTCTCAGCCAGCCGCCATTGCCCCCGGGCCTCTACTTCAGCCACAGCACCTCTGCCAGCCACCTAGTGCCATGGTGCAAACCCCCTGCCACCCTGCGCTCCGGAGGCCCTGCCGCACCCAGCTGACCTTGGCCGTCTTCCTCCCACTGCTGACAAGGTGTGCCCGGCTTGTATCCCCTGCCACCAAGATTTGTACTGCTCCCACCCAAGCCCTCTTGAATGGAGCCCTTGAGAGCTGGCTGGGTGAGTGATGGACCCCCGGTTTTTTAAAGGGTTTCTGATTTTCTCCAGATTATTTTTCGATGGTCTCTTCTGCGGTGTTTCTATTCTCAGTCTTTACGACTGTTGCGTTTTGCAAGCTGCCTAGAGTCACAGCAGATTGGGACCGGCCATAAATTTTATAAATAAATAAATAAATTGTGATTGCCCGAGTCCTGTTTTGAGGGAGACTTTATACCCAGCTAGATGGCACAGCTTGCCAACCTCGACAGAGCTCAAATAAGCGAGCTGGACTTAGGAAGACTGCAGGGTGGGGGGCTACAATGGAGCAACGAGGAAGCGAGCAATGATAAACCACAATGGCCTGCTACCAAAAAATCCTGCAGGAAAACATCTCTGAAGTCGCCGGAGCTCGACTACATGACCTTACAACGGTGACTGCTTCTTAATCCTCTGTTGCATATTAAATAAACGGTTTTTATGGGGCCGAAAACAGCCAACGAAGCAGATCGAAATAAACTAAGCTTTATCACATGTGGCTTTCAGTCCAGCGTCTGCACTGCATCTACAAGGCAGGGCTCCTCAACCGTGGCGACTTGAAGATGTGTGGACTTCAACTCCCACGAATTACCCCACGCCAGCATGGCGTGGCTGGGGAATTCTGGGAGTTGAAGTCCACACATCTTCAAGTCGCCAAGATTGAAGAGCCCTGGTCCAAGAGGACGCTCTGGTCTCAAAAAGTATTTATGCCAAGTAACAGCGACCCTGTTTAGAAGGACAAGGCATACTTTGGGGGTTTTGATGCAAGAAGAGCCGGGCCTTGCAGGCTCGACCAGCCTTCCGCAGCCCCCGCCCCCCCAGCTGACTCGGGCACGCAATTCCCAGACAGACGCGAACGGGAGCGGCTGCCAAGAGCACCACGTGCTCCGCTCACGACAAAGGGATCTCGCTCGGCCCTGGTGCGCTTGCGCGCGGGGCGTCGCCGTCCAGCTCAGACGGCGCCTGCGCCACTGCTCCGG